CATTTACATGATTTGTACACTTTGAACTCCCTTTCAGGCTGAAAAGGACTGAAAAAATTCATACCGAGAGATTCTTTTAATTCCTCTCTATATATATATTCTATTCTCTATGCCTATAAGTTGTTAATAAAGAAACATTTATATGATGTTTTGTTCCATTTAAACCCAATCAACAATTTAGAATAATTAAAGAAAAGATGACAATAAAAATTATCTAAAACGTGTTTACCTCTAAATCAGCCAGGGTAACTTCAACGCTTCCAATTAGTTCTGAGGTCGCCCCATCATCATCTTTCACATCTATCTAATATGGGGTCATTTTATTTTATCGCTTAACATCGTCCAAAACTAGAATCTTTTGAATGGATGGAATTAGTTTCACTTATCAAATATTTGCATCAAGTTTTTAAAATCTGAATTTTATTTTCCAAATAAAATTTGCTCGTATTCACTGAACAAAACATTATCATTTAAAATTCAGTGATGGTGATGGACCAAACCTCTGTAGAGTAAAAAAGTACATGTTAGTTCCACATTTATTGAAAATATATTTCGGTCTGGGTTGACCCTCGTCAGTTCTAACGATATAATAACCATCAAAATCGATTAAAAAAATAAAAAAAATGTAAAAATCACAAGAATATAAACAAACAAAAAGATTATTCAAAATAATAATTTGGGCTGCCAAAACATTATCTAAAAGGTATTGATACTTTATCTTAATTAATCTTAGATGGTTTATAAAATGATTAAACTTGACTCATTAGGAAAAATCAATTTATTGGTCTTCAAGGATGAATTGATTTTTCCAAATGAGTCAAGTTTAATCAATGAATTGATGATCAATGAAATGATTATTAATTCATTGATTAAACTTGACTCATTTGGAAAAGTAAATTTTACTGATCATCCTTGAAGATCAATTAATTGATTTTTCCGAATGAGTCAAGTCTAATCATTTTATAAACCATCTGCAAGATTAATGAATTAATGATCAATGTATATTAAAACCGTTCATCATTGATCATCCTTGAAAATCAATTAAATGATTTTTCTGAATGAGTCAAGTTTAAATCATTTTATATACCATCTGTAAGATTAATTAAGTTTAATTGATGATCAATGTATACTAAGACCGATTACCTGAAGCTTCATGTTAAAATCTGATTCACAGAGTTCGTTTAGAGACATGTAGAGAACAGACCAGTCAGGGTTTAAGTTGTTATCCTTGGTTTCAGTTCTACGCACCTTAAACAACAGTCACTTAGCTCAATCATATTCTTTTTGGACGTCAATTATGTCCATTGGGTTCAAGAGGTCAATTATATCCTTTGGGTTTAAGAGGTCAATTATGTCCATTGGGTTTAAGAGGTCAATTATGTCCATTAGGTTCAAAGGTAAATATCTCCGTTGGGTTCAAGAGGTCAATATCTCCTTTGTGTTCAAGAGGTCATGATTATGTCAATTATGTTCAAGAGGTCAATTATGTCCATTGGGTTTAAGAGGTCAATTATGTCCATTGGGTTTAAGAGGTCAATTATGTCCATTGGGTTTAAGAGGTCAATTATGTCCATTAGGTTCAAATGTAAATATCTCCATTGGGTTCCAGAGGTCAATTATGTCCATTGGATTCAAAGGTAAATATCTCCATTGGGTTTAAGAGGTCAATTATGTCCATTGGGTTCAAGAGGTCAATTATGTCCATTGGGTTCAAGAGGTTAATTATGTCCATTGGGTTCAAGAGGTCAATTATGTCCATTGGGTTCAAGAGGTCAATTATATCCATTGGGTTCAAGAGGTCAATTATGTCCATTGGGTTTAAGAGGTCAATTGTGTCAAAAATATGAATTGGATCCAAGAGGTCAAACATGTCTCGTTAGATCAAAATGGTCAACAATGTCTTTCATAATTTTCATGAGGTTTATTAGGTTTATAATTAAGGTCTATGAGGTTAGTGAGGTCTGTGAGGATCATGAATTTCCTGAGGTTCATAATTTAATGAGATCCATGAGATCCATGAGGTCTTGATAGTCCGTTAGAACCATGAGAACAGGACCATATAGCCAATCAGATCAAACCAACAAAATTCTTATTAATATTCAATCATATTAAACAAATCAATTTGATTTCTATTTATATATATACATATATATATAAAAAACAAATAAAAATTTTTTTTGAAAATGCACTATTTTGAATTTGAGAACAATGAAAAGTGGCAACTTTTGGAGCAACAGAATTGTTAATAGGGAAGGGGGCGCAAAGCGCCACAAGAGCCAAGTATTGAAATAAACTTTAACATTGCTCAACCATGTCAATATTTGTTATCAAACTATATTAATAAATTGGTCAATGAAATTAATCAGATGACTGCAGATTAAATAGGGTGTTCTGATCAATCAGATCAATTTGATCAGACAAATTAATCTTTTATTATTTTGATCACTCAAAATACTCAAATGATCACCTGGGTGAGCACTTGGCTTGCATTTCTCCTGCTGATAATAAGGAAAGGATCACTTTTCGAAAATACATCCAGGTTTTTAAGACTTCTTCCAGAAAATTGGAGTTTAATCATCCGTTGCTTCTTTATCGACATTTTATCTGAAACTGAGTTTTAAAGAAACCAGTTCTTCTTGTTTGATCATGATGATCAGAATTTTATAGAAAAATGCACCCATTTTATTGTCTTAAAGAAACTCAAGACATAACGAGTGGCGTGGCGTGTCTTATTCACAACAACGGTACCTTTTAACCATAATGTCTGCTCGAGGATTATTGATTAATCTCTAGGAAAATTAATTTTTTTATTGTGGTTTCTTGCAAACTTATACTTTACGGTAAATGGGAGACATTTCCTAATTTAACACGTTTAAATTAGGAAATGACGTTGACTTCCTCGTGATTAAAATAATTCGGGAAAATACGGCTTGGGTCAAAGCTGTCGTTGGGCCTTGTTTACGGCTAAAACTTTCGGATTCAAGATGCATTTAATTTTCCACAGAGTTGAGTTGAAAAAACCCGTTTAATATTCTATTTGGTGGATTTTTTTCACGGTAGGAATAGGCGCATTCCGGGTTCTTATTATGACAAGACTCAACATTGAGCCGAGCAGATAAAATGTTTAAAGGATGTACATTGTGAATCGGACAACCCGATATTTGAATGGAGGGTTCCTTGAAACCACGCCTCTCTCTTTTTAAATGTTAAACCTTTGCAAATATTATATATTATTTAAATTGTTACATTCACTCACTGCTAAAAAAATTCAATTGAAACACATCAGACACACCAGAGCACGTATACAGAAATACATTTATAGGGAGGGGAAAATCTGCGCGAAGCGCCAAAAAAAATTATTGCCCCCCATCCTAGGACCCCTAGGAGCTCCTAGGGAGGGGGGGGGGCAAAATTTGAACTATAAATTTAAAACATTTGGCTTCCTGGATACTTCAAAAGTACACATTCAGTCCAATTACAATAATCTCTCCTTCAAACAATGCTAGCAGAAAAAAATCAATTTTTTATGACCTTCACTCTTCATTTTAAGATTTCAAAAGTGTGATAGCTCTGAGTTCTAGGGGGACAGGCCTAGGGGGAGGCACTGCCCCCCTTGCCACTGCCCCCTTGCCACCCCCCCCCCCCCTGTTTAGTGTGCAGACAAATTCCCCATCAAAATAAATACAATGTACGTTAAGTTAAGATGAAATTCATTATATAACATATTAAAAAAGTATCAATTTTTTAATAATATTTTTTAATAAATATGGAAAAACTCATTGACATCATAGAAAATTAATGTCCAATTATAATTTGAGTAGATTTTTGTATACGTGATTAAATTAAGCTCAGCTTAGAAGATATATTAGCATCACGTCTTGTTTCCAAGCTGTTCACAACTCTCACAGTCACAACACACTATAGTTTGACTATTGACTGTAGTCACGTCAGAGAGTCTGCATTGCGTATAATTTTTATAGAACACTAGTATAAAGTATAGATGTTGCGTATAGTCAGCAGTGCCCTAAGGTTAACTGCGCGTAGTAAATACAAAAATTCTGCGTCAGCTGAGAACCAGTTTTTAACAAAGGAGACCATTTAAAAATTCCCGAAAAACAAATTGGACGAATATAATTTCAATAATAATTGAGCTTTGTATAAACTATAAGGGGTAAAAATTATAGATGGACAGGGGGGGGGGGACTTTATAATAATAATTTTTTTTGTAATCACAGTTCTATTCACATACAATATAGATAATATTTGAATTAGCTTCTTGCTAAAACCATGTACACAGTATATTGTCTGTTCATTCGTACAATTAATTGGGGCTTTAAAGAAAAAATGAAAGGGGGTATAGACTGAAACCTAAGAATTTTAGGAGTTGATCGAGACTTTAAAGTACGGAAACACTTTCATAAAGAACTTTCTTACTGCATAACTTATATTCTACAGGGTGTCCCAAAAAACATGGGAATTCAGTGACGAATAGTATATCGTCTTTGCCATGAATTTGCATTGTAATACCTAATTTCAAAAGCCATAAGCTAAAAACATGTACACAGTATAATGTCTGTACATTTGTACTTTAATTGGGCTGTAAAGAAAAATTGAAAGGGGGTATAGACTGAAACTCCCGAAACCTAAGCATTTTAGGAGTTGATCGAGACTTTAAAGTACGGAAACACTTTCATAAAGAACTTTCTTACTGCATAACTTATATTCTAGATTGTATTTTGACATAAAAACATAGATTAAAGATTTTAGAAATAAAGTATTAATGATGTACTGTAGTCTCAGTTGTATCATTTAACATGTAAAGGAATCTTTCTCATAAACTCAAATTTTCTAATCTATATATCTTTGCAACCGGCCTGATAGTTACCTTTGATATTTAAAACTTATATTATTTTATCTAATAGAATTCACAGTTTGAAATATTCTAAGGTCTGCTACATTGGGTTCCAAAGATAGGTTGCAAAATTTGAGTTTGTGGCATGAGAAACATTAACAATTGTTAATATAATAAAGTTTTGAAATTCATTTTGTATCTAATATTTATTTAATGTTTTGAGTAAATAAGATTTCTATGAATATCATTTATCATTTTTTACATACACACATAAATGTTTTGTGTTGGTAAAAACGTTGAACAAAAAATGTTAAGTTTAATCTGTAAGAAGTAGATGGCCATTCCAAAAATCAAAGCAGTGGATTTGTGATAGTTTTAAATACATCTAATCTGTTCTTTCACATATATATAATGCGAGATAGTTTACCCCTGAATTGATGTATACTGTGAAAGCATGGATTTGAATGTGATATCATTTCCATGTTTTAAAGATCCGACGTCGAACTTCGAAAAAACTTCGATGTCAACAATTTTTGGCAAATTCCTAAAATTTCAAATTGTTCCCAAGCTTCGCTGTCGGACTGCGATATAGGTTGCTAAATCTCCGCCATCAAACTGCGACGTAGGTCTCCGACAAGCTTCAAAGTCCAGAATTATCTACCCGACAACTTCTCTGTCGGAAAAAGTTGTCGGAGCTCCGACTGTTTATGTCTAAGCCAAAGAGAATAGGCGTAGTAGTCAGTCGGAGCTTCGATTTATGTTCGACATGGGCAAAAATGTTTGTTAATGAATGAAAAAGAAAAAACAGGAACTCTTTGTTTATCTTAGCATTAAATGAAAATGTAAATATGGAGATAAGAAAGTATTCAATAAATAAATAAACTGCAAAAAACTGAAGGAGAAAAATCATTGATTGCTACAACCTTGCATGCGCGTATTTAAGATTTCAAGAGGGGGGGGGCGAAGAGCGAAATCCCCTAACCCTTGTCCATTCACTGTAGTCTCGATTTCAATGCCCGATTCACAACGGTACCCTTAAAAGCTTTAGCTTATCAAGTATGAATTAGATACAGGGTGTCCCAAAAAACATGGGAATTCAGTGACGAATTCGATATCGTCTTTTCAAATAATTCTTTGATTTAGTATAGTGATACCTACTGAGAAAGCTGTAATCTGTAAGAGTTTCGTCTCCTATGTTTACATTTTGTTTGTTTATGTTTTGACTGCAACCGGTTGTACATAGTAAAACAAGAAAATTACAGTATACAAACAGAGTAAACTTGTCCGTATTCACTGTTCATCTTGCGGAGACATTATAGACACATCTTTACAGTCTTTTACCCTTTTCATTAAATAAACTCTAGCAGACATAATAATATTATGGCTTTTGAAATTAGGTGTTACAATGCTAATTCATAACAAAGACGATATCGAATTCGTCACTGAATTCCCATGTTTTTTTGGGACACCCTGTATCAATGTTTATAATTTTGAAAACTGCTTTATGTAAATGTTATTTCTCTGCAAAAGTAATAATTTCTCAGCTGTAATCAGAATTTAACATTTTTAAACCTAGGAACATGGATTAAAAGTTTAGTCCATATCACAATTTGACAATTAAACATAAACTTTCAAATTAAGGATAAAAAGACAACTCCGTATTGAACTTTCCGATCCGAACATCACTTGGGTAATTGACACTATTTTTTCACAATTATACAGGTTCATGATGATTTAAAACATTGTGAAAACACATACAGATATCTGACTTACTACGATTCACTTTATACAAAGCAAAACATTGATATTTATACAGAGAGATATCTACTATCCAACTTGCAACTAGAAAACTATAGAGAAAGCATGGGTGCTACAGCTGCTTATCTAGACTAGACTATAGAATATAGATATATGTTATCCGAGGATGGGAAGGCACAGCAGAATTACGCCACAAGAACATGAATTCTATGCGGGGATGGGAAAGCAAACCAAAATTACGCCACAAGAATTTTAATTTTTTCTAAGGATATGTGAAAGCAACCTGCAGAATTGAACCGCATGAGCACGAATTCTATCCGAGGCATGGGAAGCATACCTATAAATACACCATAAGAACTCAAATTGTATCCGAGGATGGGAAGGCATACCTGAATTACACCACAAGAACACAAATGTTATCCCAGGATGGGAAGGCAGACCAGAATTACACCACAAGAACGCAAATGTTATCCAAGGATGGGAAGGCAGACCAGAATTACACCACAAGAACACAAATGTTATCACAGGATGGGAAGGCAGATTTGAATAACACCACAAGAACACAAATGTTATCCCAGGATGGGAAGGCAGATTTGAATAATACCACAAAAACACAAATGGTATCCCAGGATGGGAAGGCAGATTTGAATAACACAACAAGAACACAAATGTTATCCCAGGATGGGAAGGCAGATTTGAAAAACACCACAAGAACACAAATGTTATCCCAGGATGGAAAGGCAGATTTGAATAACACAACAAGAACACAAATGTTATCCCAGAATGGGAAGGCAGATTTTAATATCACCACAAGAACACAAATGGTATCCCAGGATGGGAAGGCAGATTTAAATAACACAACAAGAACACAAATGTTATCCCAGGATGGGAAGACAGATTTGAATTACACCACTAGAACACAAATGTTATCCCAGGACCAGAAGGCAGATTTGAATAACACAACAAGAACACAAATAATATCCCAGGATGGGAAGGCAGACCAGAATTGCACCACAAG